CTTTCTGAGAAGTATCGGAAAAAAATATTAAAATTCTAATCATATATATAAATTGCCGTTGAGTGTCCACACAAAACCATGTGGCGGCATAGCATAAATTGATCAACTAACTGAAAATCTGGATCGTGTCATTAAGTAATAATTGTCATTGATTAATGATTAGTTGATTGATAATTGCCATTGATATATATAAAGCCTTCCCCAAGTCATTATGTCCTCCGAATAATTAATCCAAGCGGTGATTATTTGATATTTCGCTTTGTCCTAAAAAAAATTATATTTCGATAGTTGAATTCTGTTTGCTGTGGCTTCATACGGCATGTAAAATATACAAGCATGCCTAATTGGATATTATTGTTTCAAATTCTATTTTCACCATGGTCGTAAACATGAGAACAACGACTGAGTTGAATAGAGACGATTCGTGAGTGAGAATATGGTCCGTATTTGTTTCATTATATCGCCGCCAAAATGCACTAAAGTGTATGTACACATCTTGTACTAGTCTTACAAATGAAATTGAAATTTCAATCATTCTATCAGAGGTTCAGATGTGACACTATTACTTTTTATCAAGTTCTGGATGACAAGACTAGTTTAACATCTTATAATACTTTTATTCTTCTTCTAACATAAATTATATACAAAACTTAAGACTCCGTAATTAGCTTGTGTTGAGGGAGCCATGTCCTAGCTTGGCATAAATGTGCCCACGGCCTCAGCTCTCGTGTCCTGGCCGGACCCGACTGTCGATTTGTTTCTTCTCTGGGCTTATAAACCCTTCCAGACAAAGGAATCTTATTTGACATCTGGCTGATGTATCATGTATCATATCAGGTTTAACATTTGCTTATCATCAAAGAAAGTTTAAATAAGACATGCCAACAAGGTATGGTTAACTAATCGTTACATAATCACTAGTGTTGAAAATCGGATCGAGATTTGTGATCCGATTACTTTTGTTTGCTATCGAATACTATTCGTCGGATAATTCGGAAACGTGAAATTTTTGAACAAAATCACATCAAAAGTTCATATACTCATAATTTCTTTCTTATGTCAATGTTTATGAGTGTCTGTGTATGCCAATTATGAAATCTTACTTTCGATTTGCAAATTTTTTGAGCTGCGAAGAAAAAAACTTGCCTACCTTTAGCCACAATTATTAAGACTATCCATGATATCCAAAAAAATCAATGAGGTGAATAAATTTGTGTATAACTACTCCTGTAATCCGCGGCCCTCCCACTTATCATTTTTGCTTAATCAACACGAATGAAAAAAGTAAAATAAAAACATCTAGCATTTATTCCGCCAAGGTCGTTTGCCTCATTCTGATAATCTATTGCTATTGAACCAATCAGTAAGTGAGAATATACGTGACCTAGGTCGTTATGAATAAATTACATTGTGGGAAGTCTAAACACAGTGTTAACTTGTATCCCGTAAACCCAAGAAGTAGCTTCTATCTAGCGTAAACCAGCGCGAGGAATGAATGAATATTTTTTTATTTAGACTACTGTTTTCGTTGCACTGCATTAATATTTTTATTAGTTACTACCGCTAAATAATACGCGTGATGATAACATTTATGCTCAAAGCTGCGTACGTGATCAATAGCATTGGGGAAAATTTCAAAGTAATCAGATGTAAAAATGGCTAAATATAGAGCATCGAGAATGTCAGAATATATTGTAACGAATAGTAAACGGATAGTAAAATGATTCGGATAACCCTTATTTTGTATCCGTTAACGGATATCCGAATAGTAGTTTCAACACTAATAATCACATAGACCAAGAACTCCAGGGTTGTCGATAGCAAACAGGTGTCAAGTTGGCAGGAACCTGAGATAATCTGTGATTATGTAACACAGATTCTGATACCATTACGGTACCTGAAAATAACAGTAGACCTCTTGTACACCCAAAACCTTATTTTAATTCATTTGTATGACAAAGATAACAGAAGACATGTATAGCTGTGATGACTTCTTTGATAATCAAGACACTAAACATGATTACCCAATCAACAATCTTAATCTCCTTAAAATTGTCTTAAACTAAAATTTCATCCTAACTCAAGATAGATGAGTTTCACAAAACGATTTTATGCATTTTACCATATTTTTTGGTGTATTAGACGCAGAGGTGTTTCAGAAAAAAATAAAAATACATGGTTTATGCCGATATTGAGCCGTATCAACTTTATATATATATATATATATGAAATAAAAACATCTGTATACATTTTTATACGCCCACATTGAAATGTTGTCGTATATTGTCGTCGCCCCTGTCTGTCCATCCGGCCGGCAGGGCTGGGGCCATTCATTACATTGCCAATGTAATTAATTACATTACCATTACCATTACATTTTAAATGTAATCATTACAATTACTTTCTCATTTTTAGCAATGTAATTAATTACCATTACCCATTACATTGAAAGTAATTAATTACCATTACCCATTACTTTATGACTATATAAATAAAAAAACATTTTTCATAGAAATTAAAAAGACAACCTTATTTTTCTGCCATGAATACCTACAAAATCAACTCAAAATAATCCTTGATTCTCTTAATAGATATTTGTTTATGAATTATTATTTCTAGCAATTATAACATCAAGGCAAATTTTTTAGTGACGGGCAGTGGTGACAAAACAGACATTTTCACTGTATGACTTGAAAAATGAATCAAAACTATAGTTAATTAACTGTATTTTCTTTTAAGTAATTTTTAAAAAAATAGTTTTTCTCAGCATGACTCTAGAACAAAATATATTAGTTTTAAGTAACCATAAAATGATGAGATACTTGAAGGTCATTGTTTGGTTTGTCACTTGTTACCTTGAGATTAAGATTAAAGTGCAGTAAGACTATTTATTGTCTTTTAATCTAACTGACTGATTGATTGACTGAGTGATTGGCTGCAAATTAGTACTAATCTTTGATTATAATATACATCTTATCAGAAATCCACTTCTTAGGTTACATGTCTAAAAAGGGTTCCTACATAAAAAGTAATAATAGAAAATGTTTAATTCCTTCTTATTTTTCTTATAATTTTTTAAAACTTATTTAAATCTTTTTTTTAGAATTATAATGAATTGGATTTGTGTCAGATACACTTCATTACTTCTTTGGTGCTATAAAATTTGAGGCTCGTCATATTAGAAATATTTATATATGCCATAAAATGTAATTGAAAAGTAATTGAAATGTAATTGACCATTACATGATTTTGGGAATGTAATTAATTACATTTCCATTACCCATTACTTTTGAAATCTTCCATTACTCATTACATGACCATTACTTAAAAAAAGTAATGATTACATTCCATTACCATTATCCATTACCATTACCCCAGCCCTGCCGGCCTGGGTGGTGGGTGGGTGGGGTTGGATGGCCAAATGGTTAGCACGTGCGTGCTGTATCATAAGGCCTGTCATTGAGTCAACTGGCGTGGTTTTGAATTCCCGGTTGTACGTGACAAGGATTAGGGTCGCCTGTCCAACCTCGTGGGTTTTCTCCGGTTTCCTCCCACTGCTAAAGACCCCTACGCGTAAGCGAATTATTGAAATAAAATTAAAACCATGTCCTGAAATGACCTAGTTTGTGTCGAGTGGATGTTAAACTCCATTTCTCTCTCTCTCTCTCTCCATCCGGTGGCCGGCATCCACAATTGCTTGTGGACACTCTAGAGGCTAAAGTGATTTCTGATAATTACTGCCAGAGTTATGGCCCTTGATCACTTTGAAGAATCTTGTAGATGCTCTAGAGGCTAAAGTTAATATCCGATTGATTTTAAATTTATACACAGTGTTTAAGGTTATGAGAGGAAGACGCCTATTGATTTTCAACGTTCCGATAATTACTGCCAGAGTTATGGCCCTTGATCACTTTGAAAAATCTTGTGGACGATCTAGAGGCTAAAGTTAATATCCGATTGACTTCAAATTTATACACAGTGTTTAAGGTAAAGAGACGAAGAAGCTTATTGATTTTCAACAATTTCGATAATTACTGTCAGAGTTATGGCCCTTGATCACTTTGAAAAATCTTGTGGACACTTTAGTTTGATTAAGTTGAGTTTGCATTTTTGAAAAAATCAGACCGAAATTGCCAGACAAAATGGCCTCTCCTGGTACGCAAATATTGTAAAAGTATGTGATACTCAGCTTGTGGGTCCTCTAAAGATCACAATTGATTTTCAACTATTTCCGATATTTACTGCCAGAGTTATGGCCCTTGATCACTTTGAAAAATCTTGTGAATGCTCTAGAGGCTAAAGTTAACATCCGATTGACTTCAAATTTATACACAGTGTTTTAAGGTAAAGAGACAAACAAGCCTATTGCTTTTCAATGATTTCCGTAATTTCTGCCAGTGATACATTATGGGAGATTTGATAACAAGTTGGCAGTTCTCACTATAATAGTTAAAAACTAGATAATGTAAAGGCAATTTGCTGAAAATTTCATTCAAATTGATCCACTATGAACCGAGAACTAAGCGATTGAAATTTCTGCCTAGCCTCGATCATCATTACTAAAGTCAGTACGATGAACAGCATAGTCTTGATTATCCATTTAATCGTTTAATCGTGAAGGAAATTTATGCAGTAAATCGGCTCATAATCCACTAAAGATCGCAGGCTAGCAATGCCATCTGGAGTTGATTATGGTCTGGATAGGTTAATTAATGTCTAATTAATAATTTAGATAACATTTCAGGCCTAAAGAAAGACCTGCAATAGACAGATTTAGCTCTTGCATAATGTATGTTTAATGGGTTGTTACTCGTAATCAGATCTTAGTTTTGTAAATGTTTTCATTACTGACAAAAGAAAAAATATGTGAAAACCCTTGTTGACTGCCCGGATGACTTAGCTGCATGCTGTGGGTGTATATTTCAATGCCTGGCAACCGATCTTTTAAATCACCTTTTAAAAAAAAGACATTTTATTTTAACTGTTCTTGTTTATTATAGAATGGAATCAAGTTGTCAGAGGAGAGTAAATTTGCTATGCAACTGACCGCTGTGGAAGCTGGTCATGTTACCCTCAAGCTACAAGTTACATCTCAAAAAGGCAGCAGGTTTCAAATTAGAAATAACATCATCTTGAAGGATGAACTTCAAATACAGGTAAATAGATGACACTTGTGTTTATAATGAACACTCTATCTTACAACATGAAGGTTATATCATGTATATTGACTGGGAGTTATTTTGTTAATAGACAGTCACAGAGACAGACAAACATTTGTTGGCGTCTAACAAAACAAATGTTTTACACCTTTTTATACGCCCACGGACACATTTTCATGTGAGAAACTTCCAGTCAATAGAAGCAGGTAATGCAAAACATTTACAGACGGTTTAATAGGATCAATTTTGACTAAGTCAAAATGATGCATTTGATATTCAGATAAGTTGATATACAATAATTGAAAGAATACAATATCTAAAAACAGTCACTTTACTTCAGGGATGAAGACTAAATACAAAATGACAGGAAGTCATTTATCATAACTTCCTATGATGTCATAACTGACTTCCAGTCATTTTGTATTTAATTCTTCATCCCTGAGGTCACAATTTTGATAAAATTTTCATGAAATTTGAAATGTATGTTTATAACCCAAAGATTTTGGTTCCGTTCAATATTTGCGCATATCGGACCGTAAGTTCCTGGATTATTAAATTATGTAATACCAAGGTTGTGGACCCTCTACAGGTCACACTGTTATCTGATTTCGATGAAACTTAAAATATATGTTTACATCCCAAAGATATCTGTTCCTTTCAATATTCGTACATATCGTACCGTAACTTCATGGATTATGGTCCCAGATCAGTGATGGGATTTCGCCTATATATTCCAGACTTGTCCGACACTATTTTCCAAACTTCCTAAATTGTCCGACCAGGAATATGCCCAATCGGACATCAAGTTATGGTGAATAATACTCAAAATTTCAAATTTAATATAGTGTACTGAGAGTATATCTTCCACTTAACCCGATTATCGTTGATAATAGGAAGGATTGATTAGGTAATTAAGTGATCAACGTACTTATCGTGTTATACCGCCTATAAACCTACCTTGATTAACTAGTTATTCTGCCTTAATCCTTTATCGGATAATTTATCAGTCCAATCCAGAAGAGAAGTCATTGCTTCTCCTTTGTCGGGATATGTATCAATCCAATAAGAGTGATTATAAACTTAATCTACGTGATTGACCCATGATTTCAACATTGTCAGATGTTTTAATCTCCTTGATGTCGGCCGACAACACATAGAAATTAGTCATATATGTCACATATCGTCGTTGGGCGATCAAAACCTTGTATATCGGATTTTATTAAGTTTTCAGGGGAAACAAAAATCTGTCTGCGGTCCCAGATTTTTTGATTGAATGTGATTATATTTCTCTTTTATGAAATAAATTGTGGAAAATTTAATATGGGAAGGTTATTTTTGGGATAATTTTAGGGGTTTATGTGCTGTGGCTATATACGACATTTTGTCTTGTGAAATGGCGGCGTATGTGATATACAACGTTCTGTTCACAAACTATAAGCCTGTTCTGAGTATATACGACGTTTTGTTCTTTATAACCTATTTACACAGATTATTTTTTAGGGTAATTTACCTAGTACAGTGGCGGACGCAGGATATTTTTTTTATCGGCCCGGGGGGGGGGGGGGGGGGTGCGGAGCAAATCGGGAAAAATCGGGGTGTCAGTAGTGGATTATGAAGCTTATCTGCACCCGAATATAACACTCAATTTCATCAGCTGTAGCTGACATAATTCAAGGCAAATAACCCTGAGCCATAATAACCAAGACATAATTCAAGGTAAGTAACCCAAGGCTATAATATCCACCACATAATTTAAGGTAAGCTGCCCAGGGTCATAGCATCTACTACACAATTCCAGGTAATTTTTCTGGTAGGTAAATAGCCTTGGATCGGTTCTGGTAGGTAAATATAGCCTTGGATAGGGATGATACTGAATACGCAACCTAAGATCAGATATCAAGTTTCGTGATATTTACTCCATAAACAGGAGTTATAAACAAAACCCAATGTACGTTTAGCCAGGAGCATGGAATCTATTAGAGAAAAGCTATCGAATTAGACTTTTCAAAAAATGTTGTGAAGACTTGTTCTAGGTACATCTTGTCTGACGATGATCGGCAGTAATGGGATGGCAATTTAGGTAAAGAGTCTAGAAATCTTTTAGCGGTTAAATATGTAGACGATTCTCTATTCTAGGATTTTTTTCTCTTTTCGGTTGAGCCAGGTGTTGTACTGTTTTTAGAACGGTCGAACCATCTGTACACCATTTTTTCTCCGAGAGCAAACGTCGATAAAACATATTCTTGCAGACCTGTAGTCTGTCATTGTTTTTAATTAAGTGGTAATGGTAAGTAGTTTGCTTTCTGTATGTCTTTTCTTCCGTTTCGCATATGGTTCTATCCTTGACATTACATTTCTTTACAAGATTTACTATGTATACCTCTGCCATCTGGCACATCTAGTCAAGCATCTAGTCGGAGATTTACTATAAATAATGGACGGCTTAACGACATTTCAAAACCCTCTACAGACCCCTTAGTAATATGTAGCTGTGATCATGAGTTAGAGTGGCTGTCTTCTTATCTGGCCCCAGCACCACATGCAGTTACTAACACGTACCTTGCTCCAACACCACCTCATGCAACCAGTACTTACATTGTTTCAACATCATTTCCAGGCCCAAGAACTTACCAGTCCTCAGTGCCACCTCGTGAAATCAGTATTTACCTGCCCCAGCACCACCTCCAATAACCAATAATTACTTCGCTCCAGAACCATCACCACTAATCAGTATTCATCCTGCTCCGGCAACACATCAAGTAAATGGTACTTACATACCTTTAGCACCCCCCCCCCCCCCAGTAACCAGTACTTGCATTCCTTTACCACCTCCAATAACCAGTACTCACATCCCTTCAGATTCACCTCTGGTAACCAGCACTTACCTCGCTCAAGCACCACCTATAGTAACCAATACTTACATCCCTTCGGCATCACCTCTGGTAACCAATACTTACCTCGCTCAAGCACCACCTCTAGTAACTGGTACTTACATCCCTTCAGCATCACCTTCGGTAACTAGTACTTGCCTCGCTCAGGCACAAGCTCTAGTAACCGGTACTTACAACCCTCCAGCATCACCTTCGGTAACTAGTACATACCTTGATCAAACACCACCTCTAGTAACCGGTACTTACAACCCCCAGCATCACTTCCAGAAACTAGTACTTATCTCGCTCAAGCACCACCTCTAGTAACCGGCACTTACAATCCCCAGCATCACTTCCAGTAACTAGTTCTTACCTCGCCCAAGCACAACCTCTAGTAACCAGTACTTATGTAAATTTAACACCATCTTCACTAACCAGTTCTTACCTCGCTCACGCACCACCTTCAGTAACCAACATTTACCTCGCTCCAACATCAACCAAAAGAACTTACCTTGATTTCGATTCGCAGACAAATTCTAGCCTCGCTTCGTCATCGTTGGGGAGTCGGTCCTTGCTTCCACATAATCTACAAATATTTACAATGCTTCAGCATCAACACAGTCTAATTATCTGTTGACAGTTACAGGATTGCCATCGTCAGACATTTCAGCCACAGTCGAGTCGGTCGCAATTTCAATTGAAGAAAACAAAGCAATAGAATCCGCTGAAGAATCAATATCAGCTGAGATACTAAAAAGAGCTAAAAAGGGTGCTCTGATCCAGCAGTTTGGCTTAAGAACAACAACCAACTATTACGCATGCATGGTAAACCATACATGGGTTTAGCTCATAATGTTGGACATTACAAATATGCTGCTAAGAGATCAGGAAAAACACTTACACCATCGTCCTGTACATCAAAGTGTAAAGCTCCAAATCCTAGCAAATTATGTTCAAAATTTACAGAGGATGACAGACGTAATCTATTTGAAGCATTCTGGAAGATGAGTTGGGACCAAAAAGAGGTATACATAGTAAATCTTGTAAAGAAATGTAATGTCAAGGATAGAACCGTATGAAAACGGAAGAAAAGACATACAGAAAGTAAACTACTTACCATTACCACTTAATTAAAAACAATGACAGACTACAGGTCTGCAAGAATATGTTCTTATCGACGTTTGCTCACGGAGAAATAATGGTGTACAGATGGTTCGACCCTTCCAAAAACGGTACACCTGGCTCGACCGAAAAGAGAAAAAAATCCAAGAACAGAGAATCGTCTACATATTTAACCGCTAAAAGATTTCTAGACCCTTTATCTAAATTGCCGTCCCATTACTGCCGATCATCGTCAGACAAGATGTACCTAGAACAAGTCTTCACAACATTTTTTGAAAAGTCTAATTCGATAGCTTTTCTCTAATAGATTCCATGCTCTTGGCTAAACGTACATTGGGTTTTGTTTATAACTCCTGTATATGGAGTAAATATCACGACACTTGATATCTTATCTTAGGTTGCGTATTCAGTATTATCCCTATCGAAGGCTATATTTACCTACCAGAACCGATCCAAGGCTAGTTACCTACCAGAAAACTTACCTGGAATTGTGTATTAGATGCTATGACCTTACCTTGAATTATGTCGTGGATATTATAGCTCAGGGTTATTTGCCTTGAATTATGTCAGCTACAGCTGATTAAATTGATAATCCACCACTGACACCCCGATTATTCCCGATTTGCTCCGCCCCCCGGCCGATAAAAAAAATATCCTGCGTCCGCCACTGTACTAGGTAAATTACCCTGAAAAATAATCTGTGTAAATAGGTTATTCTAATTTAAGGAGATCTGAAGCATACGTTTCCCCCTTGAGAAAGACGAATTCGAATACGTCATTGTAATGGGCACCTGAAACAAATAAGAATAATAATAAAACAGTTTGACAAAACTTAAGACTTACTAATGTGAAAATAAATTCTTAAAGGACAATTTTTGTGCCAGTCATTATCACATATGTGATAGAGCTGGTTAAACACATTCCAAATATTATTTTATCTCAGAGATCATAGCTACGATAGCTGAGTAATACAAGTTTTCTGAATCGGAAGTGACGAACGCCAAA